TCTCCCATGTAAACTATCACATAATTCACAATAAAACATTTAAGAAAAAAGAAAAGTAGAGCTAGATTAAAATTCAAGGAATGGAAAGAGAAGAAGAAGGAGAAAGAATAAACAAAAACAGTTAACACAAAAGAAAAAAGTCTAATCCAGAAGCAAAATCAAAACAATGCAGCTGTTGGACCTGGAGAGGAGAAAACTCTGGGGGGCTCCTGCCAGCCAAGGTCTCATGAGGTGGGTGTGAGGGATGTGATGGAAGAGTTCTTGGCCCTAGACGGAGTTCCTATCAGTCTCAGTCTGTGTTCAGGGCCGTCAATCAGGAAGTAGTTTGTGGAGGCCCTTGTTAGAGCACAGGAAAGCTGGGGTGATTGGTTAAGTACTGGTCTGGTGACTCTGTGGGTTCTATAGGTCTGGGCACCAAAACAGCAAAATCAGCTTCTACCTCACACTGGCGTTGCTCCCATCCATGAGGTTTTGAACTCCTGGAAAACAGGATGTGAGCTGGGGATGGATTAAGGTGGTGTCCAACCACAACTCCGATTATAAGAGGAGGGGAGGGAAAAAGGAGGAATTGCACTTTTACTGTCATCCACATAAACCAGGTCTGTTACCAAAGCTGCTCCCAAGATGGCCATGCCATGTCTGTCAATCTCCCTCTTTCTTGGCAATTTTTTTTATTGTAATGACAATTGTTGTTAAGTGCCTTCTACCCTATATAGGGTTTCTGAGTCTTTTTAAAAATCTTTGCAGGAGCAGAAAGCCTTGTCTTTCTCCTGTAGAGTGACTGGTGGACTCAAACTGTGGATCTTGTAGTTTGCAGTCCAGTACTTATCTTATGAAGTCAACACAAGAATCTCCACATTTACAATTCATGGAATTGATTTCCATAGTACTTTCAATGATATTTCAAAAGTAGATAACCAGGAATTTCTTCTTAGGTGCCTTTTGGTAAACCAGAACCTCCAACCTTTGGGTTAGTAGCAAAACTCATTGACAATACATATCACCCAGGGACTCCAAAGCTTCTTCACACAACAGATAGCTAAATTTCTTGCTA